AAAAATCAGCAGTAGCGGAGCACGCACTACTAGACGGCCACCAAATACGCTTCGACGAAGTTGACATTCTGCACCAATCTGAAAGATACTACCCGGGACTCACCAGGGAGGCCATCGAAAAAGAAGAAATTACGACACTCAATCCAGATTGGAAGCGCGTTTTGCGCCAAACAGCATGTGCGCCGAAGCGTTGGAACCCCCACCCATCCCCCACGCATGAGCACACACGGCTGGGCGGCATAAATACGACTGGGAATCCAGAAGTTGAATCATTCTTAGTCGGAAAGCACGGGAGATCACTTCGCCCACTGCCTCATCGCCTTTGAAAACCACCGCAGTTGTGGACGAAACGTCAGGAAGAAATTCCGATAGACCACGGCTTCAAAGCCCGGAAAACATTCCTAAATGTAAAAGGTGCTTTTGTTCTGAATTTCTACAATGTAATACATCTCTGTATGAAGATGCAAAGTATTATTTATGAGACAAGGTTGTTTACCTCAAGCATTTCGACGATTTCGCAACACGTGGGCCGCAGCTTTGGCAGCCATTCCCAACACCTTTCCATTATCTCCCACAGCAAGTTTGGACATTCTTCAGGCCGTGTCAATACGCCCTTTGATAACACGAAGTTAATGACTTCCTCGTTGCTCATACCTGAAGAACAGTTGCAGTGCAGATAGACGAGTACCTAATAATAGTGGCAAATAACCAAGTGGACTAACCATGGTAGGGTTGCGACGCCAAAGTTACAATTTCCCAAAGAACGATCCCGTAACTCCAAATGTCGGTATCATAAGTATTCACTCCATCTGCAATGGACTCGGGAGCCATCCATCTCACTGGAAGAAGCACATTTCCACTGCCCTTTTTGTAGTAGTCACTTTGGTAAATATCTCTGGTCATGCCTTAGAAATGATTATTCTCTTAACTCAAAATAACGCTAATAGTGTATAAGATGTTCTGTTAATCAGCCCTGTGCTGTATCATATCATCAGGATAACATTTTCGATAACGCACCAACACCACCGAGGTGTGCTCTATCTCCCAGTTAACGTATGCGCTTCCGAGCAAAGTTATCCAACAAACGTTAAAAAGGGAAAAATATTGTTTGCATAAAGTGCGATGCCCTTATACGAATAGTCTATTAGTTAGAGAGAGAGTTAACATCAAACCATCGAAGCTTCTAAAACATATGCACCACATGTGCACGTTTTGACCATTTGTCCCATCTACTTGGTAGTAGATGGGACAAATGGTTACTTGTCTTTGTTTATGATTTGCATTCACGTTCAATTTCGTTCGTTATTGTTCTTGACCTATCTTGTCAAACACTTTCAATGGAGCATGTACAGAAGAGGCAAAAAAACAACCCCCAAACAATTTGAAAATCTAGTAGAGTTTGTGGAGGAAAATAAAGTTTATTTTCAATACCATTTTCTAATTGTTCTAATAAAGTTAACCTTATAAGACCACCAAAGGACATATTTTTGTTTTAAATTAAAAACAAATTATAGCTAAAACACAAAACTATGCTCTGACTAAACACAATTGTTTTATTTATTCCTCCGAGCTTAACTTCGAGGGACGCACGTTAAGTTCGATAGCGGCATGTGATTTGATGCTGTTACTCTGAAGCGCTATTGCTTAATATAACGTTCGTCGATAGCGTGCTCCTGTTATAATATAACGGTTTGACTGATACAACACACCACAGCCACATAACGTGATTAACGGATAACATGCACGTTAAAGTTAACGTGAGTGATAAAGCACAGGGCTGAATGTTTGGTTTATCGGTCAATTGATTGCGGAAGATTGTGCAGTGGATAATTTTCAGTGATTTTTGAGCACTTTTAATATTTAACCGCAGCAAAATTTTTTGTATCATCAACTCACACATGAGAGTGTGCATTTTTAGCTTTTCGTATCAAAACCTATCAATTTTGCTCATAAAACGCTGGCGAAAAAGTTGATTTTTAATCGAAAACCTTGTCGAATCTACCTAGCTGGCCCCATTTTGATTAAAAACCTCAATTCGTCGCAGGGAAGCCATAAATGCAGCGACGTCGAAATAACTGCAAGCTGTGACCCATTTTCATTGATTTCTGATCATTTTAGTAAAGCCAAACATACATTGAAACAGAAAAATAATCTAATATGATTACAAAACCGCAATGGGGTCGTTGCACATTTTTTTCTTTTATAAAATTGATTACAGACGAACAAATAAGGGCCCTACAATTTCTTTTCACATTCTGTCTAGTCGTAACAAATCTATCAGCAGTCAAAGTTTAAACTTACACAAAGCGCGCCGAAACGACGAGTTTTGCCTGAGCGTCGAGGCCAACAAGAAAGACATTGGTTTGTGACGTCACGAAGCATGATTCTGCTCCGCCACATTCAGCGCTTATACGTGTTTCCCTGCTCTAATGTGAATATTGTGTGTTGGTTTGCTTGTTTCTCAATTATTGAAAGTAAAATGGCTTATAAGTACTGTATGGTGCCACAGTGTATGTACAAGTATCACTACGTCTACACCAGGAAAAACATTTGTAAAAGTGCCATTGAACGAAAAGAAACGGAAATTGTAGTTGAAAGCAGCTCGGCGAAACTGCACCGATCTTTCTGCAAAAAGTAACATTTATGCCTGTGAGGGTCATTTCGATGTAAGTTCGCATGAAAGCAATCATATTTATAGGGTTCTAAACCTGTGCAATTTTTGTTTATTTTATTTTACAACTTGAAAAAGAGATGGAGCATTTTATGGAGTAGAAAATGGGAGTTCAGAAAAGTATGAAAAAAGATGTTGTTTCACAAAATTGCGTGCCAATTGGGGTTTGTAAATATTTATCTAGTTCTTCAAAAAATTCGCCTTCAGAAAACTTTTGCTGAACTAGGTGATAATTTTGAATTTTCCGCAAGTACAACGAGTAGAATTTTTGCAAAATCCCTTCCATTAGTTAGCGAGATGTTAAAGAGTTTAATAGTATGGATCCCACCTAATAAAGTAAAGCAACGTCTAAAAAACCTATACCTTTTCGTGCACATTATAGTAAAGTTCACGCCATAATCGATTGTTTAGAAATTTAAATTCAGAAGCCGGAAGGAAGCTAATATGATAAGTATCGATATCGGCAAACCCAGATATAATAGATTATATTTATTATGCCTTAAATGTTAATGTATTAAAAACGCTTATCTTGATCCTATGCAATATGCAAGTGTACATTCTGCTGGTTATGGGCATACAACTAGCGTAGGATTTGTGCCACTACGTCACAGCCAGTAAAACAACGTTCTCGCGTGACGTCATTTTACAAGCAAATCTGGTAACTTTCGTTCCTTTTTTTGATATTAAAAATGTTTTTAAAGAAATTTGCTTTAGGCATTTCTCTAAACGACCCTCACGCTACGTTTGGGAGAAGTTTCAATAAAAAAAAAATTGTGCAACGACCCTATTGCAGCGAGCTCATGAATAGAGATGTTAGACCTTCCTGAGCCAAATTAACCGAACCAGTTTTCTGTGGTATTTTATCATTTTTGAAGTTATTTCAGTGTTAAACCGGTTCTATGACTCCCAATATACACCCAAACACCCTATAAATGAATATTCAAGAGCTTTTTCGACAGAAAACTTTCTGAAAGAGAAAAAAAAGGTGGCTTTTTGCACAAAAAGGTCGCAAGGTAGCCAGTTGTAGACCACTTCAATCCTAAACAAGCAAATAATTCGCTGAGCTGGGCAATAGCCCGTTGTGCTCTAAAACCTGACCAAACCTGGTTCTGCTGCAGAACATCTTTACCCCCAAAAACTGACATTTTCACTCACCAAAGTCTCCAATTTTAACGGTCTTATTGTTGTTGATCATGCAGTTGCGTACGGCCAGATCCCGATGCACATATTTCCTGGACTTTAAGTAGGCCAAACCATCAGCGATTTCAATGGCCATTCGATAGATTTCGTTGGACGTGAGAGTTTGCGAGGAATCCCGCAATCTAAGTAGATACCGTTTCAAGTCTCCTCTCTCCATCAGTTCCATTAGAACGTAAGGGGGTTGGCCCTGGGAAACCACACCCATTAACTTAACAACATGGGGGCCTTGGGTGAAACCCTTCATGGTAGAGGCTTCATCGAGGAACGTCATTCGGTCCAAATCGGACGCCTCTTCATTGATGGTTTTAACAGCGCAGTTCAAGTCTTTGGACATGATTCTGCCGAAGAACACTCGTCCAAATGCGCCCTGGCCGATTAGCTCTCCTAGTTCGATGTCATCGCGATCGATCTCCCATTCGTCGGCTCTGTAAGCCAGGGTGGTGTACTCGGGGTTAATGTTGGCCAAGGCTGATATGGGACTCCTCGAGCGGGGGCTGCGCAACATCCGAACTGCCCAGATTGCTCCTAGGCAGATTACCAAGAGCGCACCAAGCCCTATAACAATTAAGGAGATGTGCAGCCAATTGTACGGTTGCGGTATTTCGTATGATTTCGGCTCGGACATGTTTCCTGGACCAGCTAGGGAAACCGGCTGAACTGATACGTGGTAAGTGTCTGGGCGTAGGCCTCGTAGAGTGAGGCCCTTCTCATGCGCGTACTCCTGTGCAGTGATGCACTGCGATTGTTCCATCTTCAGCTTCTCCAAATCATTATGCCAGTACACGTGGTAAGCCACGATAAACCCGTTGGGCCTCTGAGGCGGCACCCAGAAGACCAGCAAGTTGTTATTCGAAGTCAGTTTGATATCAATTCTCGTTATAAGATCCGCATAAGGATTTTTCAACGTCTTGGCTCTGGCTTGGAGTACTGAGCTGCACAGCTTCCTCCCATTGTCCTCTTCGTTGCACGCCATTATATAAAATATGTAAAGAGTGAAGGGTTCCAGCTTCGTAACCACGTGGAAGGTGGCATTTGCTGGAAGACTGGTGGTCGAAATGTAGCCGGCACCATAACTCAAAGCCCGCTTCTTCAGTTTCGGATCAGTTAAATTGCTCTCCAGTATCTCGTAGTAGTAACTCTTGCAATTATCAATTCCGTACATGGATTGCGAGTTTTTATCGCAAAGGTACAGCCACATATCGTTCTTCAGTCGGATGTTGACTTCTTGGTTGGTCGGCTTGCACGGTTTTCCAGGATATGTATACTGGGGCTCGTTCAGGTTGTATGCATCAGCCAGACCTTCGGTTGGCTCGTCCTCAAAACTGTCGTCATTAATCGCACGGTCAACCAATGAGCCTTCGGCACTGAAAGAAGAATCTTGTTGAAGGAGCTACTCGTGGTTAGATGGCGTCTGTGGAAATGGAAGGGTGCCAGGGCAGATGTAAGAAGAGGTGAAATGGACAGAAAAATTGACTTTTTGAATGCCATTTGGGGCACGAGATTCGCGTGTTGTAAAACTAAGGTGCTTCATATCTCATTTTGCGTCAAATTCCCTACTGAACACTTACGTGAAAGGAAACGCGCAATAGTCTCGATCTTCCAGCAAATACGGATCTTGCGGTTCTTCATAAATGGTCAGTTTGAACGAGTTGAGAATTCCATTGGTCTGAACTGGATGATCCCATGTAAGATTAATTGCGGTATCATTAACTGCAACCGCTGGAACAATTTAACACTCTTCATTATGAAAATGTTCACTTTTGTTTGAAAGTGAAGTGATGCCAATTTTCCTACCGGTATTAAGTACACTATCCAGTTATCCCCGATTTATTGGCCAATGAATTGGGCCAATTACTGCTGGTCACCGGTTATGGCATGCGATAAGTTGAGGACATTAATTTAAAAAAATTGTCGCTTCTTTGGAGGCATAAACAAAGGATTTGGATCTTGGGACATCGTTTCTAGCAAAACAAGAGAACTAACTTTTTGAAATTTCTGCTGGTTTTCCTGAAATTGCACCAATTTCTTGTGCGAATAATATCCAAGGGTAAAGTCGATGAGTACCAAGAAGATGACCTTAAATACTTCGCCTACTCTATTGGCCAACAAATCGGGGAAAACTGCATAGCGAAATTACAGAAAAGCTTGTTTCTTACCGTTGAAAAATGTAGGCGCATCAGGATCGTCTGGGAGGGTTTCGAACGATCTGATTGGCGTTCGCCTGACTGACATGTTCCTCAGGTAAATTCGAATGTAAAAGTGATACTTTTTGAATACTTTCAGGCCAACTAATTGCACGGTATTCTTCACAGTGCTCACTGTAGTCCAAGGGGAGCTGCACACATCCTGGTCCATCTCATCAGCATCTAGAGAATCTGAAATTCACTGTCTTACTGCAATTGCTCCCGGATTAAGTGGAAGTAGGTACCCGTATAGTGGATTAAGTAGTAAAATTCCTCACGCCCCAATCGGTTTTCCCAAGTGATGGTAACATTTTTTGAATGGCGTTCATTTACGATCACTGACAGGGATTCATCTACGGCCTCATAGCAATAAGCACCGTTTGAATATTTGGATACATCAATTTCACTATAGTTAATGCCCACGTGGTGGGCGAATCGTTGAATTTCGGTTAGACAGAGTTGGTCGTTGTCGTGAAACCCGATAGTTCCTACAACAGAAAAAATACGATAATGGAGAAGACTGATTAAAGGTTACACTGGTCTGCAAAAACAATGTTTTTTTCCTCCTCATTGTTTTCATGCATAATAACATCATATTTGATGCTCTAAACACGGAATTTAATATGCAAATAAATATAGCACAGCATTTTAACTATAATGTCCATTTAATAAAAAACGATTTTATCAAAGTAACACAATTACAAAAAGTGAAAAAAGGCTACGGTCTAAGTTTACAGCGAAAAATGCAATTTTTACAGTCACAAGTGCTAGAAATATCAGTATAGTTATCTCAGTATGGTAGTATAATTCAAATTATTTTGTAGTTTTTTCTCTTTTCATCTTTTCCATTAAAGTTTCTCGGCGAATCGACCAACAAAAATCAGCAAGCATTGCTTCTGACCATTTTCCATTGTAGCGTCTTTCAATATACATAATATCCTGAGTTAATCTGATACGGCACCGAGATTTTCCGGAAAGAAATCTAAATGGGAGTCCAAAAAATGAATTTTGAGTGACATATTGCATCGTAAAGCTTTATAAACAGAAAGAAGCTCTCGAATGATTTGTCGGTAGTTGTCAGCTTTTGTATTACCAAGAAAATTATGACTTTTACGAAAGCCACCCAAGCTTTTTGAAGTGATAACTTTTTATGGGACGGTGAACAGATTTTTCTCGGTAACGGCGGCTTCCACTCCGGCTTCTTCGCGCTTGAGGCTTGGGACGCACATATGCACTTTGAATTCGACATTTTTCTCTTAGTGCGGGTGCATCTGTAGATCTGATAAACTTTTCAAATACACATTGCGTTATTAAACTGCCGGTGACTTTGATATATCAATTATTGAGTGTGATATTGTTGTGTTTGGTGCAGTTTATTTTAGAACGCTGATAACAATAAATCAACGAATTAACAAGGGAGAAGCTGCAGATACTGCAAATACTAAGTAAGGGTGCTCATGTACTATATGCATGTTCGAGTTTCGCGTTCTTTTTAATTTCCAATTAAAGTACACACACAATTATACACACTAAAGCAGTTTATATGCAGCAAAATGTGGATCGTCCATAAATTTGCAGAAACATGTATTACAAACTTTTGAAAATCATGTTCAAACGACCGGGTATTTATCATTGCAAATGAGATTGCCCATTGCCATGTACTGTTAAATATTGTTTTAAGAACTAACAATCGTTGTCGTGCAACAAAATTGTGCCTAAGACCCACTACAATAAAGTTTTTGAAAAACTGCTGGACTTATTTTAAATCGCCTGATTGACTGCGGACGCAAATTCGTATCAGGAAAAGATTAAATTAAATTAAATCGTATCGATAGAATCCCGGTACCGATTCCCTATGTCTTACTCTCCGTCTGTAGTCCAGATGCTGCCCTGATGATGTCCATTTGCATTGTATTACACGATTCGGTAAAATATTACTACCTACCTACTTGTTTAGTGATTTTCATCGGAGACAATCGTTAAACCAGATGTTGAGCGGATATTTTTTAAAGAAGCCAGGGTCAATTTATGAAAAACGCTCAAGATTAAGTGCAAATAAAGTGACAACTATTATTAATAACTTTTAATGCAATAATCTGTTCTATTATTTGTTATTTTATTTTGTAACAACAAATAATCAATATTTAGATATCTATTTTGTAATTTTTCATATTTAACATAAAATAATAAACATCATTTCTGTTTTGTAATAATATATAATAAATATGTTTTGAATTTAATTGAAAAAATATTTGAGTTTACCTCGGTTATTTCAGAAAACATGGATTCCGTCTTCTTATTTTCTATCACGCAACGCATTCTTGATTTTAAGACCATACGAATCTCTCTTCAGCTTATAGTTGATATGATTGATATGTAAAACGAATTTATTAGGGCTTATTAATTATTTTTTCCCTTCATATACCCTTTGATTCCTTTATCATTAAACCTTCTCTCTAAATTTAGTTTAATTTTTTTAGTCTTGGATTAGTTCAGTTAAAATATTTTTTTAAATCTACGCGCGATGGCTTACACTATGTATGTATACATATAGTGTGTCAAGTGTAACCTGTCTCTATAGCTCTTCCTCGTTTTACCGTATATTTTAAACAGATAGAACGTCCTCAAATCACCAAAATTAATTGATTTTTTAGTTCTATTCAGATACAAGTTGAAGCAGCGAAAAGTATTAAGTAATGCTGAAAGCCAAAAACGATTTCGTGCTAAAAAATGAGCATTCAGTAATAGATCAAATCAAAGTAGCTTTCATCAACTGAACGACAAAGATTATACAAAGCAAATAAGAAATTACCACTAAAAAATACAGAAACTCAAGAAGAAGAAGAGTTTACGCAAATCCAAGAAGAGCAAAATGTACAACCTCTCGTTGAAGAATATTAAATGTTGCAAATAAAAAAGATATTTTACATTCAAAAGGAAATTACATTAATAATTATTGCCATCATGCGTTAAACAAGTTCGATATTTTATGGTTTCTATAAATATATGAAGTTATCACTTTTGTCCCGTGACGCAAATAATTTTTTTAACTTCGAATTGAAAACTTCATCCGTCATAAGCTCTCGTATTTGCGGACCTACAAAAATCCCTTCTTTCAATTTCGCGTCAATAATTTGAGGAAATTTTGTTTTGATATATTGAAAGCCTGCACCAACCTTGTGCATAGCTTTCACAAAGTTTTTCATGAGTCCCAACTTTATATGAAGTGGTGACAGAAAAATGTTGTCACTTGGAACTAGAGGTTCTTGAAACACATTTTTAAGTCTAGGTCTCAAACTTTTTCTTTGTGGCCAAGTTTTCACTTTGTAATGTTTCGCGCGACTGTTCACATAAAAAAGAGCAAAACTTGGTGTATCCTCGCAATCCAGTAAGTATAGCGACTACTTTTAAGTCAGCACAAATATTCCACAGGAATTTGGAATATTTAATTTTTTCAAGTAATAGCTCCAGATTAGCATAATTTTCTTTCATGTTTGTTGCATGTGCTAGAGGCACTGAGGGGTATTTATTTCTGTTGTGAAGTAAACCGGCTTTCAACTTTTCAAACAATCTTCGACGCATCAATAAAGTCTCCATTTTTAGAATTTTCTGGAAAACTCAGTTCTTCGAGAAGCCCCGCAGCATTATTACAATATGGTAAATAATTTTCTTCATTCTTATCTCGTGCGAAAATATGACACTCTCGTACTTTTATCCAACAAATTCCACTGTTTCAATCTTGATCCGAGTAACTCAGCCTTAGATTTTGATAGCCCCAAGTCTCTAACGATATCATTTAAATCAGGTTGCTTAAGAAAATAAGGTTCTTTTGATGAGCTTGAAGATCCAGATAAAGTGTATAATGGTGAAGATGTACCGGTAGAATTGAAACTCGATTGAGACTGTATTCCAGTAATATTTTTATTTTCCGTCGCTCGCTCGCAATTTTTTTGAGATACTGGCAGTAAACTACCTTCACCACGAGGAAGTGGTCTCTTTGCAGATGCGATGTTCGGATATACAATCTTGCTTTAATTTTTTTCGAGAATCCTCATGTTGATGTAATGCAGAAATAACAGTCATTTTCATGATTTTGAAGTTCATTCTAAAGCATTGGCATCGTAAACGGCATAGATTTGTGACTTCATTCAAGCCAACCTCTCAACGTTCTGGAACAACTGTTACAACAAATTTTTGGTAACCAACTTTTATCCCTCTCATCAATATAAAATCCAAAATAAAGCTGATAAGCTTTTTAACAAGATCTGTTATCGCATTTCGCTGGGTTTTTAGAGCAAACTTACCACAAATGTAGCAAAAACACTCTAGAATTACTACAAGTGCACGGCATTTTATAACTTAAAATTAAATGGAATTTATTAAAAACTTTTTTAACTACCATTTTATATTTATTACGTCTGTTCATAAAAAAAATTGAAGTGAAAAAAAAAGTGACATCAACGACCGGGTGCAGAATAGGTTAAACCCCGCGAGTCGGAAGAGCAAGTTTTCCGTCTGTTATTGTTATTGTTTGTGAAGTTGACGGTAATTTTGAAGTTAGTTTGTTCCTGTTCCGTATTTAAAGTGATACTGAGTTGAATAAAAGTTGGAATAAAAGCTGAAGAAAGAGTTTGATACCCGGCCATCCACGGTACATTTGGTGTCAGAAGTGGGATTTACCAGAATCCAAGTTGAATTTTGATGGAAACAAGAAGT